GGCAGTGTGACGGGAGAGTTTCAGCGCGGTGGGGACTCGGTGCTCTGACCTGTACGAGCTCCTCCTTGGTGTTGAACTCGGACACCAGCACGTTCTCGCCGTCCGACACGCGCGTGAGCGAGATGCCCAGGCGGCCCGTGGCGAGGACGTGGGCGTCGGGGGGCAGCGTGCGGTACAGCAGGGTGCGCATGATCTTCACCAGGTTGAAGGAGGGGTGCATGGGCCCCAGGACGCGGCGCCGGGCCTCCTTCGCCACGTCGATGATGTTCGCTCCCGCCTCCCCTGCGGAAACACAGAAGTCAGCAGCTGGGAATGAGCCCACAGGCACCAGACACAGACAAGAGACACTTCGGACTCCTGCAGGCAGCTCAGCACTGTCAGTCCAGTCCCAGCAGTGACCAGTGTGGCCAGTCAGCAGTCCAAGCAGTGACCAGTCCAGCAATCCCAGCAGTGACCAGTAACATAACATCACTTTATTAGTCCTATACAATTTCATGCATCAGGAATTTCCCTTTTACAGACCCCAGCTTTTCTCCATGAGACACAGACACAGAGACAGGGAGAGAAGCTGGGGGTCAGAGCACAGGGTCAGACATTGTACAGCGCCCCTGGAGCAGTTGGGGTTAAGGGCCTTGCTCAGGGGCCCAACAGATTAGGATTCCTCTGCCGGCTGCGGGATTTGAACTGGCAACCTTCCAGCCACAGGCAGAGATCCTGAGCCACAGAGCCACCACTCCGCTCCATGACACTGCCCCATGACAGTGTGACCAGTCAGCAGTCCCAGCAGTTACCAGTTTGACCAGTCCAGCAGTCCCGGCAGTGACCAGAGTGACAAGTCCAGCAATGCCTAGTCCCAGCAGTGACCAGTCCAGCAATGACCAGCCCAGCAATGACCAGCAGTAACCAGAGTGACCAGTCCCAGCAGTAACCAGTCCAGCAATGCCTAGTCCCAGCAGTAACCAGTATGGCCAGTACAGCAGTGACTAGAGTAACCAGTCCAGCTCAGTCATGAGCGGTACGGTTACGGGCGCTTTGCCCTGTTGCCCCGATCGCGGTACTGAAGCGGTGTATCTACAGCCGCAGTGTGATCTGCGCCACAGGGCGCTGCGTCCGCAGCGGGTCACAGGACAGTCTCTCACCCAGGCATGCCCCGGTGACCAGGGCAGAGGCGGTGAGCGCTCCGGCCGAGGCTCCGTAGATGTGCCTGGCATTCTCCACCAGGAACGGGGCCTGCTCCTGCAGGCAGCTCGCCACGCCGATGTGGTAAATGCCGAGAAACCCGCAGCCGGCGAAGGAGATATTCCAGGGCGAGTCCAGGGGAAACATGGTGGAGGAGCGCCCAGCGGTGCCCCGGGCGACACCAGGTCGGACACCGGCCCGCCCCCGCCGCGAACGGGAGGAGCTGCGGCGACAACCGGCGGCGAAGCGGAGCTCCCCGGGCAGCTGTGTCCGCTGGTCCGGCGAGAGGACGCGTCCACAGCACACAGGCGACGAAGGAGTGCTGGTCACACCAGCCCGTGTGCCCCCAGCATCGCTGCCGGCGTAACCACGGTGGCAAACGTTACCCGCAACGGAATTAATGCTCAGTATTCACGTCCAGGTCCGTCTTCCGCAGTCAGCTTTAACCCCACTGTACTATACCGGGCTGTCGCTGCCGTGTTTACGGCTCTGAGGCGCTGGGCCTGCGCCAGCCGCGTTTTGTTTACGGCGCCCCGGCCTCTCCTGCCACTCAAGCCGCGTCGGCGCAACTGCCCCGCCCTACAGGCGCGGCTTGAGCCCCCGGTCCAATCCGGCCCGGGCTGGGGGCGACACCCTCCGCTGTTACCCAACAGCCCGGGCAGTAAACAGCCCCGGAGTGGGTGGGGCTGCGCGTGAGCTGCTGGGGCCCAGCCCAGCGACTTTTGCTCCAGAATGCGGCTCTGGGAAACGTGATGAGGGGACAAGATGTTTCTAGGAAGCTGATCAACACTGTGAAACAAAGTCAAAACAGAACAAACAACATAAATGCCACACCAATATAGCCTGTAGTGTACTCTGGAGAAGTAATTTACAGATGAGCTGGACTGAGTGTCTCTACTGTATCTACAGCTCTGATGAGGGAGTGTTAGTGTGAAGTTACAGAGGAGCTGGACTGAGTGTCTCTACAGTATCTACAGCTCTGATGAGGGAGTGTTAGTGTGAAGTTACAGA